ACCATCTGTGGTGTTACCAGCTGGACCGTCTGTGGTGTTACCAGCTGGACCATCTGTGGTGTTACCAGCTGGACCGTCTGGTGTTACCAGCTGGACCGTCTGTGGTGTTACCAGCTGGACCGTCTGGTGTTACCAGCTGGACCATCTGTGGTGTTACCAGCTGGACCGTCTGGTGTTACCAGCTGGACCATCTGTGGTGTTACCAGCTGGACCGTCTGTGGTGTTACCAGCTGGACCGTCTGTGGTGTTACCAGCTGGACCGTCTGTGGTGTTACCAGCTGGACCATCTGTGGTGTTACCAGCTGGACCATCTGTGGTGTTACCAGCTGGACCGTCTGTGGTGTTACCAGCTGGACCATCTGTGGTGTTACCAGCTGGACCATCTGTGGTGTTACCAGCTGGACCGTCTGTGGTGTTACCAGCTGGACCATCTGTGGTGTTACCAGCTGGACCGTCTGTGGTGTTACCAGCTGGACCGTCTGTGGTGTTACCAGCTGGACCATCTGTGGTGTTACCAGCTGGACCGTCTGTGGTGTTACCAGCTGGACCGTCTGTGGTGTTACCAGCTGGACCATCTGTGGTGTTACCAGCTGGACCGTCTGTGGTGTTACCAGCTGGACCGTCTGTGGTGTTACCAGCTGGACCGTCTGTGGTGTTACCAGCTGGACCATCTGTGGTGTTACCAGCTGGACCATCTGTGGTGTTACCAGCTGGACCGTCTATGGTGTTACCAGCTGGACCGTCTGTGGTGTTACCAGCTGGACCATCTGTGGTGTTACCAGCTGGACCGTCTGTGGTGTTACCAGCTGGACCGTCTGGTGTTACCAGCTGGACCGTCTGTGCTGCTATCAGTCGTGCTGTCTGTGGTGCTACAAGAGAGACTGTCTGTGCTGCTACAAGAGAGACTGTCTGTGCTGCTACAAGAGAGAATGTCTGTGGTGCTACAAGAGAGACTGTCTGTGCTGCTACAAGAGAGACTGTGCTGCTACAAGAGAGACTGTCTGTGCTGCTACAAGAGAGACTGTCTGTGCTGCTACAAGAGAGACTGTCTGTGCTGCTACAAGAGAGACTGTCTGTGCTGCTACAAGAGAGACTGTCTGTGCTGCTACAAGAGAGACTGTCTGTGCTGCTACAAGAGAGACTGTCTGTGCTGCTACAAGAGAGACTGTCTGTGCTGCTACAAGAGAGACTGTCTGGTATCTATCAGTCGTGCTGGTCGGAACTGTAAACACGAACTACGACTTGGAACGAGAGACAACGGGCATGAGCTAAACTTTGTAAATATTTCATTTGTACTTAACGTGACTGAAATAATTATACTATAAATTTCAGGAAAATTTAATAGTTAATAATGAAATAATTTGAGGCCACTAATTCTGGGGACACGGGAGACACTAAGGCTGCACCGACGACTTTTTTATTTATTGATGTATATGTACAAGAGTTCTTGCACTCTTATACAGCCACGAGTAAGCTTAGCGTGTCGGGCGAGTCCCTCATCCTGTTTTTCCCGGAATACGACCCGCCTAATTGCTTTAAAAAAACAGCTGGTTCCCTCTTTGCTGTTGGGTAACCAGAGGCTACAATTAGGGATTTACTGCCGGTAAATCCTTCCCGACTAGGATACGAACCAAGGACAAAGCGCTCTCCAAACTCCTGGCGAGTGTCTTGCCACTAATACAGATTTTTTCTCCATAACAATTCCTTACAAACGCAGTGACGATTTTTCGTCACTGGTGTGTTCTGAACGTGTCTGTCTGTATAGTGGCCATAGGACGTGTTCTGAACGTGTCTGTCTGTATAGTGGCCATAGGACGTGTTCTGAACGTGTCTGTCTGTATAGTGGCCACAGGACGTGTTCTGAACGTGTCTGTCTGTATAGTGGCCACAGGACGTGTTCTGAACGTGTCTGTCTGTATAGTGGCCATAGGACGTGTTCTGAACGTGTCTGTCTGTATAGTGGCCATAGGACGTGTTCTGAACGTGTCTGTCTGTATAGTGGCCACAGGACGTGTTCTGAACGTGTCTGTCTGTATAGGGGCCACAGGACGTGCTCTGAACGTGTCTGACTGTATAGGGGCCACAGGACGTGTTCTGAACGTGTCTGTCTGTATAGGGGCCACAGGAACGTGTTCTGAACGTGTCTGACTGTATAGGGGCCACAGGACGTGTTCTGAACGTGTCTGACTGTATAGTGGCCACAGGACGTGTTCTGAACGTGTCTGTCTGTGTAGGGGCCACAGGACGTGTTCTGAATGATAATGATGTTACGAAAAAAAATTATGATATTGTTTATGATTTTTTTTAACAAACCGTTAAAACGTTTTGGTGAAGCTGAAGCTGTAAACTGTGTCAGGGTGAAGGTTGGTGCTGTAAACTGTGTCAGGGTGAAGGTTGGTGCTGTAAACTGTGTCAGGGTGAAGGTTGGGGCTGTAAACTGTGTCAGGGTGAAGGTTGGGGCTGTAAACTGTGTCAGGGTGAAGGTTGGTGCTGTAAACTGTGTCAGGGTGAAGGTTGGGGCTGTAAACTGTGTCAGGGTGAAAGTTGGTGCTGTAAACTGTGTCAGGGTGAAGGTTGGTGCTGTAAAGGGTGAAGGTTGGTGCTGTAAACTGTGTCAGGGTGAAGGTTGGTGCTGTAAACTGTGTCAGGGTGAAGGTTGGTGCTGTAAACTGTGTCAGGGTGAAGGTTGGTGCTGTAAACTGTGTCAGGGTGAAGGTTGGTGCTGTAAACTGTGTCAGGGTGAAGGTTGGTGCTGTAAACTGTGTCAGGGTGAAGGTTGGTGCTGTAAACTGTGTGTCAGGGTGAAGGTTGGTGCTGTAAACTGTGTCAGGGTGAAGGTTGGTGCTGTAAACTGTGTCAGGGTGAAGGTTGGTGCTGTAAACTGTAAACTGTGTCAGGGTGAAGGTTGGTGCTGTAAACTGTGTCAGGGTGAAGGTTGGTGCTGTAAACTGTGTCAGGGTGAAGGTTGGTGCTGTAAACTGTGTCAGGGTGAAGGTTGGTGCTGTAAACTGTGTCAGGGTGAAGGTTGGTGCTGTAAACTGTGTCAGGGTGAAGGTTGGTGCTGTAAACTGTGTCAGGGTGAAGGTTGGTGCTGTAAACTGTGTCAGGGTGAAGGTTGGTGCTGTAAACTGTGTCAGGGTGAAGGTTGGTGCTGTAAACTGTGTCAGGGTGAAGGTTGGTGCTGTAAACTGTGTCAGGGTGAAGGTTGGTGCTGTAAACTGTGTCAGGGTGAAGGTTGGTGCTGTAAACTGTGTCAGGGTGAAGGTTGGTGCTGTAAACTGTGTCAGGGTGAAGGTTGGTGCTGTAAACTGTGTCAGGGTGAAGGTTGGTGCTGTAAACTGTGTCAGGGTGAAGGTTGGTGCTGTAAACTGTGTCAGGGTGAAGGTTGGTGCTGTAAACTGTGTCAGGGTGAAGGTTGGTGCTGTAAACTGTGTCAGGGTGAAGGTTGGTGCTGTAAACTGTGTCAGGGTGAAGGTTGGTGCTGTAAACTGTGTCAGGGTGAAGGTTGGTGCTGTAAACTGTGTCAGGGTGAAGGTTGGTGCTGTAAACTGTGTCAGGGTGAAGGTTGGTGCTGTAAACTGTGTCAGGGTGAAGGTTGGTGCTGTAAACTGTGTCAGGGTGAAGGTTGGTGCTGTAAACTGTGTCAGGGTGAAGGTTGGTGCTGTAAACTGTGTCAGGGTGAAGGCTGTTGGTGCTGTAAACTGTCAGTGAAGGTTGGTGCTGTAAACTATGTCAGGGTGAAGGTTGGTGCTGTAAACTGTGTCAGGGTGAAGGTTGGTGCTGTAAACTGTGTCAGGGTGAAGGTTGGTGCTGTAAACTGTCAGGGTGAAGTAAACTGTGTCAGGGTGAAGGTTGGTGCTGTAAACTGTGTCAGGGTGAAGGTTGGTGCTGTAAACTGTGTCAGGGTGAAGGTTGGTGCTGTAAACTGTGTCAGGGTGAAGGTTGGTGCTGTAAACTGTGTCAGGGTGAAGGTTGGTGCTGTAAACTGTGTCAGGGTGAAGGTTGGTGCTGTAAACTGTGTCAGGGTGAAGGTTGGGGCTGTAAACTGTGTCAGGGTGAAGGTTGGTGCTGTAAACTGTGTCAGGGTGAAGGTTGGTGCTGTAAACTGTGTCAGGGTGAAGGTTGGTGCTGTAAACTGTGTCAGGGTGAAGGTTGGTGCTGTAAACTGTGTCAGGGTGAAGGTTGGTGCTGTAAACTGTGTCAGGGTGAAGGTTGGTGCTGTAAACTGTGTCAGGGTGAAGGTTGGTGCTGTAAACTGTGTCAGGGTGAAGGTTGGTGCTGTAAACTGTGTCAGGGTGAAGGTTGGTGCTGTAAACTGTGTCAGGGTGAAGGTTGGTGCTGTAAACTGTGTCAGGGTGAAGGTTGGTGCTGTAAACTGTGTCAGGGTGAAGGTTGGTGCTGTAAACTGTGTCAGGGTGAAGGTTGGTGCTGTAAACTGTGTCAGGGTGAAGGTTGGTGCTGTAAACTGTGTCAGGGAGTAAGTTGGGGCTGTAAACTGTGTCAGGGTGAAGGTTGGTGCTGTAAACTGTGTCAGGGTGAAGGTTGGTGCTGTAAACTGTGTCAGGGTGAAGGTTGGTGCTGTAAACTGTGTCAGGGTGAAGGTTGGTGCTGTAAACTGTGTCAGGGTGAAGGTTGGTGCTGTAAACTGTGTCAGGGAGTAAGTTGGGGCTGTAAACTGTGTCAGGGTGAAGGTTGGTGCTGTAAACTGTGTCAGGGTGAAGGTTGGTGCTGTAAACTGTGTCAGGGAGTAAGTTGGGGCTGTAAACTGTGTC